CCCTGCCCCCCACCCTCCCTTCCTCACCCTGCCCCCTCCCCTCCTCACCCTGCTCCCCTCCCCCAACAGAGGCTTTCGGAAGAGCAGGGAGGAGGACCCTGGGGCGTCTCTGAGCGGTAGTCATCTCCGTGCTGGACTTTCCTGAGGGCCGGCTGTCCGAGCCTGTGTGCAGGGTGAGTCCCCCTGGCACAGCTCTGAGGCGCTGCCCCTGCCAGGCCCCACCGGGGCGTCCCTCCATCCACACGGGAGCTGCAAGTGGCCCCCTTGGGCAGGCACACGCTGTCCTGCTCTCCAGAGCCCTCAGCTGCCTCACACTCACTCAGGCAGCAGCCCCTCTGCGCCCACTGCTGGGCACCGGCCAGGATGGGCAGAGCTCGGCCGGGGGCTGGGTCCTGCTGTCTCTGCAGGGTTAGTGGTGTTGACCAGAGGGCGGGCCTGCGTGCCGTCGGCCAGAGCCAGGTCCCCACCAGCACCCCCTGCTCTGTGGTCTCTCCAGAGCCGCTTACTGGAACCGCTGGAGCAAGGGCTAGGAATGAACGCCAGACCTCTGTCCTTGCCCTGGGCCGAGAATCAGAGCCTGTCAGTCGGATGTCACAATAATGAGGACCAAGCCTGAGGTTTTCCAAGCCTAACTCGTATCGCCAACAGACGGGAACCACTCGGCTGAGTTTTTAACAGTGTAGCAGGCCCACGGGATGGACCGGGCAGGTCCTGTCTTCACGACGGGTCTGGGAGCACCTGCCCCTGGGACGCCCATGGCGACCTTGGGGGCATAACTCCCCAGAATTCAAGCCTGTTTTCCTCCGCTGTGAATGCTTGCTCGCACCCTTTGCTCTGGTTCCTGCGAGGGCCCTCGTAGTGAGCGCTCCTCAGACCGTGGGGGAGTCGATCAAGCCCTGAAAGGACCAGTAGTATGCTGGCATTTCAACTTTACTTTGTGATAGTTTTAAAAATGCAACATTATTTATTTGACAAATACGTCATCTTCCCTTTTCATTTACTGCCATTGTTTTTACCTCTAAAAAGTTTCCATCCAAATAGAAAGAAAAAATTCTATTCTGGAATCTTTTTATTTCTGACATCTGGAACTTGACCTTTTCCAAACTTGTGCCAAGACCAAATTGAATTGGTTTAGTATAATTTAAGACGTGCAGGCCAGGGTTTCCCTCATTTTTTCGAAGTATTTTTGCGTATTGATTCTTCAAAATGTTCTGTGGATCACTCCATTCATCATCACCAGTGGCAGCACTGGTCGGCGGGCACCAAAACCACACAGTAACTCGGGGAACAGTGACAGTGCTAGGCTGTCATCGGAGGGTTTGTCCAAATCCTTACCTCCCGGAGCCGGATGTTTGTGGTTTCCTTAGTTTATCTCTAAGGGGTTGGGATGGTTTTCACCAGGCCCTGTCTGTGCATGGGGCAACCATTGGGTGCGCACGCTCTCAACCATTGGATGAGACCGCGAGGGTCCCTCCCCCTACGCGGGACAGCTCTTGGGGAATAGATGGGGGTCTGGGACCCAGGCAGGAGGAGTCTCAGCTGTTCTAGGGGTGGAAGAGGGGAGGGGTCAAAGCCCCTAGGGGTGCTGGGCCCTCAAAGACACCCCCATCTTTGAATCCCCAGAACCTGTGACTATATTAGGTCCCATAACAAGGTGGGATTAGGGTTGCTGGCCTTGGGAAAAGGACACTATCCTGTGCCATCCAGGTGGGTCTCGTGCAGTCCTCGTGATTGTTGAAGGTGGAAGGGGGAGGCAGACAGAGGGCAGCGAGCCCCCCACTGCTGGCTGTGAAGATGGGAGAGGAGCCCCCAGCTGGGGAATGCAGTGGGCTTCTAGAAGCTGGAAGAGACAGGAAGGGATTCTCCCCTGGGGCCCGCAGAAGGCATGCAGCCCGCCCACACCTTGACTTTGGCCTGGTAAGACCCAGCTGGGACCGCTGAGCCCCAGAGCTGTAAGATAATACATTCCCGTTGCTTTAGGCCACTAGCGTGGGACCACTTGAGACAGTGGCCACAGGAGACTGCCACGGGGCCAGCCTGTTGTTTTGTGGACGTGGTAGGCAGTGTCTGTCTCTCTGGGGCTCTGCTGTCCTCTCTGTGGAAATGAAGCAGGACAAGTTGGGCTTGGGTCCTTATACGCACTTACGGGCCGACTGAACTCACGAAATTCTCTCACTCTTTCTAGCAGCTTCCTACTGACCCTCGTGCTTTTCCCCGGGGAAAGGCCAGACCACATGACTGCGGGGTGCACACGGCGCCACGGCCCGGCTTTTGGAGAGTTGCTGGTTATAAAGCCATGCCATCACCTACCCTGAGACCCAGCAGCCCCGCTACCTGGATACTCAGCGACAGAAGTGACCACACGCACCAGGCATGGAGCTCAGTGACGTTTGCCGCAGCCCCAGACGGGAAACCACCCAAAAGCCGATCAATAGGAGAATAGATAAACAAGTGACGGCCTCGTCATAGGAGGGGATAAAGCAACAAAAATGAGCAGTAAAATCAACAGTAAGAGGCGCGCCTGGGTGGCTCAGTCATTAAGCATCTGCCTTCGGCTCAGGTCGTGATCCCGGGCTCCTGGGATCCAGTCCCTCATCGGGCTCCCTGCTCAGCCGGGAGTCTGCTTCTCCCTCTCACTCTCCCTCTGTGCACTCTCTCTGTTTCTCAAATAAATAAATAAAATCTTTAAGAAAATAAGATAAAATCGGCACTAAGAACAGGGGCACGCAGAACCCAAGCCGCGAGCCGCGAGCCGCACTGAAGGAAACCCGAAGACGACAGAGCTTGCCGGTACAGAAGGCAGGCGGTGGCGTGGTGGGGGATTGACCGGACTGGGACACTAGGGGCCTTGGGGGGCCAGAAAGCCTCGAGGCCTTGTTTGGGAGTGGCTGTCTGGATTTATACAAGGGGCAAAACTCCCTGAACAGGACTCTTAGGTCTGTGCATCTCAATTAAATAAAGTGAATAAATTAAATCAAAATAAAATTAAACAAAACTAAAGACAAAATTTAAAATTTGCATCAGAGTCGCAGAGCCGCACGCCTTGCTGAGATGCTCTTCTCTACTCCAGGCTGACTGACGTGCTGTTAACATGACAGGCGATTGCAAGGGCTCTAGGAAGAAACGGTCCTTCCAGGAGTGAGGAACCCCCCTTGGGCGTTCTGTGTTACTGTTAGCTTTGATTTGCTAGCATGTGGTTTAAATCAATGAATCTATGTTCAAACGTAGGGCAGCCTTTTTCTTTCACATGTGATTTTCAGTATGCCAACTTTGTTTAGGAAAACATCCTTGAGCAGCTAAGTGGCCATGAGGCAGGGCCAGCCATAACCCGCTCCCGTGTGCAGGAGCTACGGGCCATGCGGTGTCCACACCATGCCTTCCTGCCACAGCCCCGGGAGGAGGGGGCTCCCTATTTTACGCGAGAAAGACCCCAGGAGACCGAGGTTGAGGGGGTTTGGTGACTTGCCCGAGTGCACACAGTAAGGGGAAGAACCAGGGCTTGAACCCCTCATCCAACTGGAAAGCGGTGCACTGCACAATCCCACTGTATTGTGTCTTCTGAGCAAAGTACACGTAGAGCAGGGGAAGGCTGGGAGCGTCTGGGGCACGTGCACCAGGAGGAAGGCTGGGAGCACCTGCACCGTGGGGAAGGCTGGGAGCATCTGGAGCCCCTGCACCGTGGGGAAGGCTGGGAGCATCTGGGGCACCCACTGCACGGGGAAGCCTGGGAGCCCCTGGGGCACTTGCACCAGGGGGAACGCTGGGAGCACCTGCGCTGTGGGGAAGGCTGGGAGCCCCTGGGGCACCTGCAGCACCAGGAAGGCTGGGAGTGCCTGGAGCACCTGCACCGTGGGGATGGCTTGGGAGCCCATAAAGAATGGGTCTGAAGTCCAGAGGAGGAGCTAGACACAAAGGAGTTGGCAAACATGTGAGTTCTGAATTTCTTTAAGTGTTGTGCGATTAAGTGCGAGCAGGTGTAGAGAGAGGGGTGTCTTTTGTGCAGTGGAGCTTGGGGGCGGGGGCTCCTGTTGACCCGAGTCAGGGAGGGCCTCTCAGAGGGGCTGGGCGAGGGAACGCTGAGACAAAGGACAAGAGAATGCCAGCCTGGAGAGGAGCAGGTGAATGACCCGGGTGCAGGGAGGCGGGTGCAGCCTGAGGGACTGGGCAGGGGGCGGAGGAGAGGAGGAGAAGACAGCGGGATCATGTGGGGCCTTGAGGCTCACCACGAGGAATCTGGGTTTTAGCCTCTGGAGTTTAGTCGTGGCTGGGACTGTGTGGTCGTGTGTCCCCAGGCCAGGCAGGGCAGCCGGCACATAGTGGGCACTTAATGTGAGCAGACAGCCATTGCCACCTAGACCATCAGCCGGCACTGAACTTCAGCTGATCCAGGCCCCGGGGGAGCCGCCCAAGACAGCCCTTGGCTAGAAGGGACTGGAAGATGTGTGCACACCTGTGTGTATGCGTGCATGTGTGTGCACAAGTGTGGGGTATGTGTGCTTGTGCACATGTGAGAGTGTGTATGCATGTGTGCATGCATGTGTGTGCAGGGGTGTTCACATGGGTGTGCATGTATGTGAGAGTGGGGTCTACATGGGTGTACATGTATGTGCATGGGTGTGTGCATGTATGTGCGTATGGGTGTGTATGTATGCGTGTGAGAGTGGGGCGTACAAGTGTGCGTGGGTGTATGTGTGTGCATATATGGGTGTGTATGTGTGTGTGTGAGAGTGGGGTGTACATGTGTGTGCATGGGTGTGTGCATGGGTGTGCATGTATGCGTGTGAGAGTGGGGTGTACAAGTGTGCGTGGGTGTACGTGTGTGCATGTGTGTGTGTGAGTGGGGTCTACATGGGCGTGCACATGTATGTGCATGCATGTGTGTATGTGTGTGAGAGTGGGGTGTACATGTGTGTGTGTGTACGTGTGTATGTGAGTGGGGTCTACGTGTCTGTGCATGGGTGTGCATGCATGTGTGTGAGAGTGGGGTCTACATGGGTGTGTGCATATGTGTGCATATGTGTGAGTGGGGTGTACATGTGTGTGCATAGGTGTGTGCATGGGTGTGCGTGTGTGTGAGAGTGGGGTCTATGTGTGTGTGCATGCGTGTGTGCATGGGTGTGCATGCATGCGTGTGAGAGTGGGGTCTACATGGGTGTGTGCATGTATGTGCATACATGTGCGTGTGTGAGAGTGGGGTGTACATGGGTGTGCATGGGTGTGTGCATGTGTGTGCATGCGTGTGTGTGAGTGGGGTCTACGTGTGTGTGCATGGGTGTGCACATGGGTGTGTATGTATGCATGTGAGAGTGGGGTGTACAAGTGTGCGTGGGTGTATGTGTGTGCATGTATGGGTGTGTATGTGTGTGTGAGTGGAGTGTACATGTGTGTGCATGGGTGTGTGCATGGGTGTATGCATGGGTGTGCATGTATGCGTGTGAGAGTGGGGTGTACAGGTGTGCGTGGGTGTACGTGTGTGCATGTGTGTGTGTGAGAGTGGGGTCTACATGGGCGTGCGCATGTATGTGCATGCATGTGTGTGTATGTGTGTGAGGGTGGGGTGTACATGTGTGTGTGGGTGTACGTGTGTGCATGTGTGTGTGTGAGAGTGGGGTCTACATGGGTGTGCACATGCATGTGCATGCATGTGTATGCATGCATGTGAGAGTGGGGTGTACATGTGTGTGCATGGGTGT